AATACCTGATCGTTAGGTTGGAAAATCGGAGGTGGAATTGTCTTTTGGTTGTAATACTTTGCGTATTTATCATTTGCTCTTCTGATACGTTCACGTATTTCATCGATGGATTCTGTTCTGTCCGGTAAATAAGGAATATCTAGTTCATCCAGGATTTGCGTATCCCAAGCGGTAACTATAGCTTGAATACCAAAAGCAGCATTAATTGGAGCTATTTTTGTAGCAGAGTGCTGTGAAGAGTTATAACACAACTGAGCTTTGAGAAGATAATTGACCCAATTTGTTAAATGTTTGTTCACGTAGCAACGAAGATATGACTCCAAGATTTGATTGACGCGCTCTGTTTGTCCGTTTGTTTGTGGATGATATCCTGAAGATAACATAAGGTGTATGTTATGGTCTTTGGCATATTGTCGCCACTTTTCTGAAATAAAAACAGGTCCTCGATCCGAAACAATATCAATTGGATATCCAAAACTGGATATGATTTTTTCCTCGAATATTTCAATTAACTGATCCGTGGTTGTTGTTGTGTTACAAGCGATAAACCAAGCCATTTTGGTAAAACGATCTACAATGGTTAGAATTGCATCTTTACCTTGAGAAGGTGGTAATCCTGTTATAAAATCCATAGAATAATGTCTGAATGGCTTTTCTGCAATGGGTAACGGTTGTAATTGACCATATCGTTGATGATTTCGAGTTTTATGTCGTTGACATATGTCACAATTTTTGACATATTTTTGGATGTCTGCGGTCATACCTTTCCAGTAAAACTTTTCGCGGATGCGATTTGTTGTGGACATTTTTCCACGATGTCCTCCTGAGACTGGCTGATCATGAAACTGATTGCATATGAGTTGTACAAGTTGTGGTAGTTTAGGAATGACAATTTGTCCTTGATCATTGACGATGAGACCATTTTTCACAGTGTATTGTGGGTTACGATTTATTCCATTAAGAATATTCTTTAAATTCTTGTGATGGAAATATTCCTGTCTCACGTAGTCGAATATGTTTGTGAGAATGTCTGTTTCCACGACTCGATTAACTATTTCAGTTTTGTGATCTGGACGACGAGAAAGTGCGTCTGCAGGTTCATTTTTTCGACCAGGGCGGTATTGGATTTCAAAATTGTATAAATCTAGTTCAGTTGCCCATCTCATGATTTTTGAGCGAGTGTCTGTGTGAATCTTAGTGAACATTGATGTTAAATTCTTATGATCAGTAAGAATTTGAAATGGTTTGTCAGTACCTGCCAAAAAATGATACCATTTACGTAAAGTTGCTATAATTGCATATGCCTCTTTTTCCCATGTTGGCCAAATTCGTTGCCGATCTGTAAATGTCTCTGAATGAAACGCGATGGGATGATAAATTTCGTCGTCTTGTTTTTGGGAGAGTATGGCTCCTATAGCAAAATCAGAAGCATCCGTTTCTAATCTAGTTTCTCGATGTGGCTCATAGTGTCTGAGCATAGAAACATTTTCGAGCTCTTTCTTAACTTGTAAGAATGCTTGTTGTTGACGATCTGTCCATTTAAATTTGTTGTTTTTCTTGGTTAAATCATATAAAGGTCTCGCTAATTTGGATAAGTTCGGCATAAATCGTCGGCTATAATTTACAAATCCTAAAAATGATTGTAATCTTCTAAGAGTATTGGGTATTGGCCAATTTGCGACTGCTTGAATCCTTTCTGGATCAATTTCAATACCTTTATCGGAGAATATGTGGCCTAGAAACTTTACTTTGTTTGTGAAGAAATGACATTTTTCTCGGTTTGCGTATAGGTTAGCTTTCTGTAATCTTTCGAAAACCTGTTGCAAATGCTTTTCATGGTCCTTCTCTGATGATGAAAATACGAGAATATCGTCTAAATAAACGATAACAAATATGTCAATAAAAGGAAGTAACACTTTGTTAATATATCTCTGAAAATTCGCTGGCGCATTTGTTAATCCAAATGGCATGACTGTATATTCGTATGCTCCAAAATGTGTTCGGAAAGCAGTCTTGTGTTCGTCACCTTCCTTGATTCTAAGTAGATGATAGGCCTCTTTTAAATCGATTGTACTAAAGATTTTGGCTCCGCCTAGCCAATTTATAATTTCTTCGAAACTCGGTAATGGATAATTATCCTTTCTTGTGATCGCGTTCAGCGGCTTATAGTTTATAACCATGCGATACTTATCTGTTCCCTTCTTTGGAACTATCAATGGTGCACACATAAAATTTGAAGAACTTTCGCGGATTCGCCCTTGAGTTAATAATTCTTGCACCTTTTCGTTTATTACCGATTTTTCACGTTGTGTGTATTGTCTCAACTTTGGGGTATAATCTGGTAATTCTTTTGTTAATTCAATTTTTAAATCACTATTCGAGTGTTGGGGCAACGGTATTTTAGTGTTTTCCGTGAACACTTTAGCAAACGGCTTTAATATTTCTTGAACTTTCGCATCGTTTTTGCTATATGTCTGGTCTTTTTCCAGATTCGTTTCGCCATATAAAAAATCTAAATTTCCCAATTTTTTAAGAAGAGTCCATCCAATGATGGCTTCATTTTCCGAAATTGGAGTAATTATGAATGTCTCATAAAATTTTCGATTATTTATTTCTACTGGCAATCTTAAATTTCCTTTAACTTCCAGCTTGTCATTTGTTATCCCCATAAATGTTCGGTTTTCTTTGTTAAATTTACGCGTAATTTGTTTGGCCAGATCTTCTCTCAAGATGGATACGTTGGCGCCAGTATCTATGAATGCATTGACCTTGAGGTTTGCAATTTTAACATCTTGCTTTTGAGAAGGTTGCTTTTCGCTGCGTTTTGGAAAATCTTCCACGCTTATCTTGTTTATAGAGACGACTTCGTCTCTTCTAGACTTACTCCTTTCGTCTAGTCATTCATTAGACTTTTGCTTTGGTTTCGGCTTATCAGCATGGTTGTCTCCGTTTTTCTTAGGAGTAAATTTTGAAGGTCGGAATTTTGGACGGAAACTTTTCTCTGATCTTTGAACCTTGTTATATCGAACCTGATTATTTACTGTTGTTACAGCTGCAGCGTGGTTTCCATGCTCATAATTATGTTTGAGAAGTTCGTTTCTAAAATAATTTGAATGAAACGTGAATACAACAACTTTCTTGATTGTATCCATGTCCAAATCGTCGAGCCATTTGTGAGTTTCATCAACATCTAACTCACCACGAGCTCCTTTTGCTAAATATTTAGGAATGGGATGAAACCAAGATTTTTCTCTCTCATTTAGGAACGTCTGTTCAAAAACCGTCTTAAAGGTCCTCTGAGGTCCTGGGATTTTTACCAATTCTCGTATCTGTCTTTGATAATTTTCTGGGGATTTGGAATATAAAAACGTAATTTTCTCGCGATCAGATGGAAATACTTTAGGTAAGTAACCGAAAATACTTTGCAGATTTTTCCCAAAAACTGCTACGGATTGCTCGGATGGTTCAAATATTCCAGGATTAAGTGGATGAATCATATTTAAATAGGAATCTGCTAGAGACCCATATTTTTCATGTACCAAAGCTATAATGTCCAGAGGTTTTTCTGGAATATAGTCTTCGTCAATTTCCATTCGGCTATTTCTTTCTTCCGTTTTTTCTTGAGCCTGAACTAAAAAGTTTATCTGTTGGCTTAAAGCATTTATCTTTTGTTCTTGTATTGCCATATGTTGAGCGAAGTATCCACCCCCAGTGTTTTCGGAGTCCATTTCCATCCTATATATATCTTTTGCAAGTTTATTGCAATAATTTCCACTCTACGAGATCGGAAGATAATTTGTCACGGGAGAAATCTCACACGTTATGAGAATGTAAATCGAGTGGAAGTAATAAGTACAATTACAAAATTGTCTATTGGAATTGGACGTGTTAGTACTACGTAGAGTAATAGTAATATGTCCAGGGATCTGATTAACTAAATGAAAACGACTAAGTGTCAATCTTATTTAGCCTGATCAGTCAAATCTTCCGATCTAAAGATTTCGACTGTCGACACACATATATATATTATTCTGTATATTTGCCATCGTGACTGGCTTCTCTAATTAATAGCAATAATCACGAATTGTAAATTTTAATCGGAGTTTCTGCAATCAAAGAGAAATTTGCATTTTCAAATTTTTGTTTACTTATTATCAAGCACAATTCTTTAAGCTTATGAATATTAACTGATATTAGCTAATATTCCATTCTTATAACGAATTGTTATATTATGAATGCTAACGAGGGACCCAATTA